ACAAAAACAAAAAATAAACATTAAAAAAAATTTAAATACTAGTCTCCAACTTTCTTTTCAACAGGTGGTGGGGTTAAAGGGTTAAGTCTAACAGACTGCATGTTTGTGAGCCTCATGTTCTTGTCCTGTATGGTGTGGTAAACCTGGTCAAATGGTTGTGCATTAGAATCACTTATGGTGCTTAATAAGAATACAGGTTCCAAAGTCTCTCTCAAGAGTTCCTAAAATGAGAATTTGTAGCAAGAATTTTGAAATCACTGGCTAACTCTGTGGTACAATGGTCATTTCTTGTTTCAGCATTTCTTTTCTGAGCACAGAAACCTAGAAAAGGGTACCCAATGTTTCCACTGGGAGGAGTCTCATTTAAATCCTCTTTAAGAAATGACTCATTTCCTTTGAAGAATGAGAGTTGAAAATAGATTTTAAAAGATACAAAATAGATTTTCTATTGTAGAGAAGAATGCAATGTACAACTTGCTTTCTGTGTAGCAGGAGGCAGTAAAAGTATCTTGAGAGTGATGTCATGCATTGGTTTGGATTTGAAACCTGGCCTTGCCACTTTCTTGCTGTGGTACCTTTGACTAATTGTTGTAATTCTCAGTTTCTTTATCTATAAAATGAGGTTGAAAATAGTACTTCACAAAATAATAATATTTACCTGAAAAACACTGGGATTTAAAAGTGGTAACTAGGGGTGCCTGGATGGCTCAGTTGGTTAAGCGTCAACTCTTGATTTCTGTTCAGGCTGTGATCTCATGGTTCACAAGTTCCAACCCCTCATTGGGCTCTGTGCTGACAGCATGGATCCTGCTTGGGATTCTGTCTTCCTCTCTTTCTATCCCTCCCCTGCTCATGCTCTCTTTCTCTCTCTCTCTTTCAAAAATAAATAAACATTGAAAAAAAAAAGTGATAGCTAAAAGCAAACAGAAATGATACTATTAAATATTCTCAGTAAGAGTAACTTGGGATGTTAACATCACCACACACTTTAGTATGTTGGCCGATACATAGTAGGTATTAATATTCTTTTTTCTGGTTATGCTGCTATATATTAATATATATATTAATTCCAGACAGAATTTATTCTGTTCTGTAAAACTTTGTACAGTATATTCCATGAAGATACAGAAGAAAATGATTTGTGTCAAGCCATTGCCACAGTAACCACTCTGCTGCAGCAGATCCAGGAAGTGGGGCAGAGAAGTAGCAGGTCTAGAAGCCGCTTCCAGGAATGTGGGGAGAAGTTGCGGGCTTCAGCTCTTTCTCTGGAGCAGGACTCAGTTTTTGCTGACACCAACACTGGGAAGATGCCCCAGGACTCCCAAACATTTCCTTTGTTTGACAATTGGCGATTAGTTCGATTTGTTCTTATCCACATGAACTGTCTTCTGATTTTTAAAAGTAGTGACAGGTACATAGGTAACCAATGTATAGAGCTTGTTTGGTGAATCCTCATCCTCATTATGTTTTCTAGACAACTGCACATGGATACTGTATGGATCATTCCTTATTCCTCTGGCCCAGATAGCAATGCACACATCTGGAGTTCCCTCCCCTTCCTGGTAAATTTCCGGATCTCTTTGAGTGCCTGAGGAGTACATTTCTTGAAACTCACTTCGTCAATGCACTTGTGGGGGTTGATGGTGTATTCTCTGGTCACTACTTCATTGATAGCAGAACGACCCTTCTCCCACCCTTCCTTGCAGGAGTCATTCTGCAGGGCGAGGTCAGACAGGAGTTACTTAGTATTCTTGAATCAAAGTTCAACATGGTGTGGCTCACTGTGTTTTTATCAAAGTTATTAATATCAAAGGTATTTTCTTTCTTTCTGGCTCTCTTTTTAATATCATTTTAAAAGTGATATTATTTGAATGTCCCCATGTCATGCTGATTTTGTGAGTACAAATGAATTCACCCTAATATATCGCTGCCTAAATAAGGTTTAATAATCACATTATGTTTAACAATCATTTGGCTCCCCTCCCCCCCCAAGCTCCCTCATTTATGACAGGAAATACTCAGCTGAGTCTCCTAGGTGCTCCAGAACAATTCCACTCTTTCTCTACTTCTTTGGGTTCCTAGTCAAGTCATCTTGACTGTGCATTGGCCACCAGTTCCCTTTATGAGAATATGCCTTCACTGGTGGAGCCATTCCTTATTGGGGGCAAGGTTGCACGAAGGTCTGTGGCAGGCTGAGTGAGAGAATGGCCCTCTCCCTGGCTCTGTGTCACTAGGGCCCATAGTAGTAATTCTTATACTCGAAATCCCATAAAGTCACTTGTGAAGATAATTCCTCAGTTTCTGGCCCTAACTTCTTTCCCCAACATGCTCAAACTCCCAAAATTTGAACTCCCAAATTCCCCAAAGCATGTGCAAACTCTGTGGGAGAGCAGGAAATGCAGGCATCACACTATTCCCTCCATTCCTTTTGCCACTTTCTTAAGGTCAAGGGCACAAAATGTCCCCTTCCTTCTTCATTTAGAAACATACCTTCCAAGAAGTTCAGCCTATACAGACAGATGGCTGGAGATGTCACTGATAACTAGGTCCTAAATCCCAGTATGGTTTCAGGTAAATCACCTGAGACCTTATCCTTCAGTCTTGTATCCCTATCAATCAGACAGAGAATACTAATTCCAAAGACATTTTGGGTACTTCAGTCTGTTCCTTTTGTGTCTCCTTTGAAAGTGAAACAACTGTATGTGGAGAGAAGAGTCACGCCATTTCTGAGGCTCAAGCCATCCCCACCCTGATTCATAGCTGCCTGGCCTCACTAGGGATCTAGACTCAGGCTCCTCAGCAACATGGAGCTCTGGGGATTTTTGTTTTCCTGGTACTGATGTGTGAACACTTAAGATAACAGTTAACACAATAACAGTGGCACAACATAGAGTAACGATTTAATTTTATTCCTTATTTCTCAAAAAGCTTCTTTAACATGATGTGAGAGTTATTAATACCCTATTACTTTAAATTCTGCTAAAGTATATGAGGACCCATGACATAAAGTCCATTTAAAAACTCTTGCTCCTTTCTGGGAAGAATAATGGTGCAGAGTATAATACTGAACAATAGTTTACGGGTAGTGTAAAGCACAATATAGTGTAAATGATGATGTAAAAATGATTAACAGAAAGGTAGTGGAGAATTCCTCCTCACCCTCACATGACCCAAACCATGTTTTTTTTGTTTGTTTGTTTTGAAATTGATGTTTCCAGGTTAGTTCTGGGTGAAGTACAGCCCGTTTTTCTGAATCCCAACTCCTAACCTCAGGGTGACGTCCGCCCTAGATACTTAAGTATCCCTTTCTCCACCATGAAACCTAGTTTTCATAAAGAAAGGATAAGTAAACTCACATTCAAAGGCCAATTATGGTTATGCTAAAGCTTAGTGTATGTTTCCTCAAGCCATTCTAGTGGAATGATTGCAATGCTTCCTCTGCTGCTCATTGTCTATGAGATGTGAATCCAGCACAGCAAATGTTCTGAGCCTAGTCTGTTTAAAAACTAGCAATGATACGGGGGCACCTGGGTGGCTCAGTCAGTTAAGCGTTCAACTTCGGCTTAGGTCATGATCTAATGGTTCGTGAGTTAAAGCCCCATGTCCACCTCTGTGCTGACAGCTCAGAGCCTGGAGCCTGCCTCAGATTCTGTGTCTCCTTCTCTCTGCCCCTCCCCTGCTCATGCTCTGTCTCTCTCAAAAATAAATAAACATTAAAAAAAAAACTGGCAACAAAATATCACAAATCTTACTGGAGTTTTTAGAAGAATAAATGAATAAAACTGGAAACAGTCTCAGTAGTGTTTGGTCCATAGTATGTACTCAATTTATGTTAAAAAATTATGTTAACTCAAAAAAGGACAAAATCTTAATCCAGAGAAAATGGCTTTTGACTGTGGAATTTCTATTTGGGGGAACATATTACAAGGGTCTTTTTTTTTTTTACTCCCTTAAATTATATTTTGAAGGTAGTTGCCAACCTGTTTTGTTTTTTTAATAAATAAAACTATACACTTATCTTAAATTTTACCATGGTCTGAAATGAGCCTGCCTAAACCTGGTTGTGACATGGGCAGGGACCAAGGGACCACAAAAGTGCTTTCACAAAAGTCTAAGACACGTCGTGGTGGCAACTTCTCTTTCCATTTCCATAAAGTTCATTTCATACTAGGATACTATTTCCTCCCTCATTCCCAAGACACTAATCTTTAAAATAGGGAACAATGAACCTGAAATATTTTTGAATTTCTTTAATAATCTTTTATAGAACTGTTAAAAGGGTTTCCTAAACCCACATTTTTTCCAGCTGCTGTGGTTCGACATTTGTGGAGCAACAACTGTGTGATTCAAAACGGTCCCTTATTTACTTGTATCTACAAATCACCTATAGGATGGGCCCACCTGATTTATTTTCTAACTTTCAGGCTGGGCGTGGATACCTTTGAATTCTTTGCTCCACAAAGATGCTTGGGTAAAAGATCTGAGGATCCCTTCCAAGGACTCAGGTGCCCCGCTCTGATTTGTGGTGAGACGTTTGAGTAAGAGGTACATCGGGAACTGGCGCCACAGGGCCCCACCGCGGAACGGGAGGCGGCACCGAGGCAGGGCTCGGGCCAGCGCCCTTTCGCATCCCCCGAGGAGGGGACACCGCCCAGGCGCACCCGTCGCTAGGTCCTCTGTTTGCCGCGTTCTAAAGGAGCCCTGAGCGGGACCAAGGTAAACCGGGAGGGGGGGGGTGTGCCCGGAAAATCTAAAGATTTGTGTTCCGTCAACAGCCAGGGACAGCAGGGGCTCCTGTGGTGGTACCTCCAGCCCCCCAGCCCTCCTGGCGCGGCTGGGCGACGGATGAATCCCCTTGGCCTTGGTTCCTCCCAACCGTCGCCCGGCCTCGGCGCCCTCCGCGTCCGCCCCTCTCCGCACGTCGCGCACCCCCGGTCGCAGCCCGCTAATGGTCTGGCCCGTCCGTAGCCGCCACCCCCTTCGGCAGCGACAGCTGCTCCAGCTGCTCCGGGTGGAGCGCCCCAGCCCCGAGCCGTGGCTGCCTAGGGTGGCGGGCCGGCGCAGGGGAGCAGCGGACCACCAGCGCGGGCGGCCGGGTCCGGGGGCGGCCGCCTGCGGGAATCCGGGACGCGGGGGAGCCGCAGACGAGCCGCCTGCAGCCGGGAGGCGAGGACCGTGGCTGGGCTTTCCTCACCCGGGTGAGTGCCTGCTGCCCTGCTCCTCCCAGACCCCCTTTCACCGTCTCCACAGCCCCCGAGGGCTCGGCCCCCACCAGGGACGGTCACAGCTCTAGGGATACTGGCTCCCATGGGAGCGGCCGAACCGGGAGCTGATACTGTTAGTGCTAATGATTCAGCAGCATTCGTGCCCCGAGAGAGATGTGGGCAGAATGGGGGAGGTTGGGGTGGAGGGGGGGGACGAGGTCAGTTGCTGTGCTCTCACCTCAGTTTCTAGGCTTCAGAGGTGCCACTGGTCGGGCAGGGTCGGATGGGGTGAACCAGGAGGCACCCTGCTGGCTTGTTCTGTAATTCGCCCTTTTCCCACAGCATGGTACAAACCTCTGCGAGTGTGCGGTGCAGTCTTCCAAGTGTGTCAGATTAGTGTGTTTTTCGCACATGCCAGTGAGGTATGGGGCCCTTGCCTATACCTGTCAGTTTCTTTACTTCTTGCTCCATTAGATGCCTAATTCATGCCTGCGTCCACTCAGTTTCTCATTGCCTAGCGTTCTCCCGCTGATGTATGACATAGATGCTGTGTGCAAGTTGTCTTGTGTTCAGAATGGGTTTGGTTGGTCTTGGTATAGGAGGAAAAGATTTAAGGGAGGTAGGAAATAATATTTTCAAAGCCTGGACACTTACTTTTAGATACATTATTTCATTAAATCATCACAACAACCTAGAGCCTAAAGGTGGAAAGTGAGGAGCCTGGAAGTTAAATTACATGCTCAAGGTCACAGAACAAGAATTTGAATACAAGTCTCTCAGACTCCAAAGCCCACGGATCTTCCACTGTAACAAGGAGTTGTGTGTCCAAGTGTAAGTGTACCTATATATGATCTATTAGATGTTCAATATAAAATTAATTTTCAAATGAGTGATCTCAAACAATAGCAACAACCTGTAAACTAACTGTATATGGAATTATCATTCTCTTAGTATGAAAGCATTCTTTGAATTGGAAGGAAAAAACCCATTTTCTTAGAAAGCATATGCCAAAAAATAATATCTGGACAACATTGCATAGGAGAGCTAGGTCATAGCAGGAGATGTTCAACACATTTTTGGCAGTGATATATGGTAGATGTTCAAATGTTGGAAAAACCAATTAGGAAAGTAAATACACACACACACACATAACCCAGAAAATCTTGTTTTTCTTCTTACACTTTAGGGAAAACATTTGCAATAAGAACAGTTATTTAGTTCATGGGATGTGTGACTGAACTATTTTTGTGGGGTGTGTCATCCCATGATAGGGTGACAGATAAACTCAGACTGATAGTGTTATTTGATTCATTACAGCTGTGATTTGGCATAGTAGGTAATAGCTCCATTTTACAGACTAAGGAACTGAAATACAGAGAAGATTCAAGATCACATGGCTAGTAAGTGGTGGAATGTGGACAAGCATTGACTTACAAAAAATATGTGTGTTGTAGCAAAATGTAGTTCTATACAGTGGGAAAGTGCATTGATTTGTTTTTGCCCTGCCCTTCAGGTCAACAGTTATAACTGACCTGTGTACTCTTTCTGAAAAAATAATGGATGCTGGGTTTTGCTTTGTCTATTGCTTGGCCATTTGGTTTGCTTTCACTTATGACTTATGTATTCTCTCTTAAGATATGAAACTCTTGTTGATGTCTCTGGAGGCAGGTTCCTATAGTGCTAATGCTCATTATCTCTTAGTACTGGGATAATATTTGATGGCAGATAGGAACATAATCATCTTAGTCCATCATGTCTAAAGTATTGAACTACTTACACTGGAGAATTATTAATGAAGATATTGATAGACTGAAGCCCACTGCCTAACTAAGGCCATGAAATGGAGACACAAATTTATATTTGTTGTTCACCCAAGACCTTAAGAGAAGTAGGATCTTGTGATTAGTCTTACACTTAACTTCTAGGAAGTCAATTCTTTTTGTTCTTTATATGGCTATAGACTATATCCTGAACCTTGGTGAGGCATCTTGTAGGCCAATCTGTTTAATTCTCAGGAGGATGGCAGAATTGGTAAGAATAAATATGCAAAACTATGATCCCACTGGTATTAAAAATATCAAAAGAAAGTACATGTCTTAGTGATGAAGGGTCAGTGGGAACATTTTAAAACTAAGGCAACACATTTTATTTAGATAACATCACCAAGTATGAATATAATACCAACCTGGCTTTAGCACTGTATCTTTTCTTTCTTCACTCTCTCTTTCTGTATATCTGCATGTTTTGTCAAATGACTACAGTCTGCAAATTCAAATTCTTGACTTCAAGGAACTTAAAGTCTAGCTGGGGAAGTATTTACTTACATGTGAGCAATTAACAAAATAATTAGAACTGGCCTAATATCAGAAAAAGGTGGTGCTATAAATGCTATATCAACACCTTAAGAAGGAGAAATCATAGAGGAGGGGTTCATAAGAGGATCAGGAAACTCTTCATGGATGGAAGTGAATTCAGTCACTCTGCAAGATGGGAAGGATTTGGATAAGTAAAGAGAAAGCCAGAGGAGGTTCAGCTAAGTGCTCATATACTGTGTGGTTACCCAGTGACAAATTGTGAAGAACATCACATATCAGGCAGTGAAATCTGGTCGTCATCTGGTAGTCGTAGGGAAATAATGTAGGTTACTAAGCAGGCCAGGTTTCTCTTTGGCTAGTCTTGCTCACATTCTCCATATTCCTTGCTCCAAGTGCTCTTCTAGAAAATGCTTTATTTCCTGGGTTCTGATATTAAAAAGATCAATTGTCAACTAAACCCAGAAGGAGGGCTGCTGGGTGGCTCAGTCAGTTGAGCATCCGACTTCAGATTGGGTCATGATCTCGCAGTTTGTGGGTTTGAGCCCTGTGTTGGGCTCTGTGTTGACAGCTCAGAGCCTGGAGCCTGCTTCTGATTCTGTGTCTCCCTCTCTCTCTCAAAAATAAATAAACATTAAAAAAGAAAATTTAAAACCAGAAGGAGTTGTCTATGCAAGTAACATTTTTCCGTTTTCAGAGAAGCTTGCCTTTTAAAAAGCTTTCCCTTTCCATTATAGATTTATGAACAATTTGGAAACTATAAGAATATAAAAAGGAAAAAATCACCATGCTTGTACAAGCGAAAGATAAGCACTATTAATATTTTGATGTGATTTTGATATTTCCTTCCCCTATTTTTCTGTGCATAGTTTTAATCATGATATATATTTTGCTTTCTAAAATATTTTCACTATAAATTTTATAACATTAATTTTCACTTAATTACAACTAGGCAGTGAACTTCTAAAATATCTACATAGTTTTCCATTAGGTAGATGTACCATAATTTCCTAACCATTCCTCAATGTTGCTATATTGATGATAATAAATAATGCTGTCATGAACATCTTTGTTGATAAGCTCTTTTCTATATTTTAGAAATTGGTTTCTTAAGATAGAGTCTCAGAAATGAAATCTCTAGGTTAAAAAGTATGAATTCTTAGTTTAATTTTTTTTAAATTGAGATATAACTGACATGTAACATTATGTTAGTTTCAAGTGTACAACTTAATGATTTGGTACTTACATATATTGCAACGGGTCACCACACTAAGTTTAGTTAATATTCATCATCACACAGTTAACAATTTCTTTTCTTGTGAGGTGTAGTTTGACTATTTTATGCAAGTTTTGAAGCTCTACTGGATTTTGCACGTTCTCTTTGGACATCACAAATTAAATATAAGATATTGGCATATTATTAATTAATAATACTCACTCCTGCCTATGGGTCCTCCGATTATACTTTTTTCAGGCAACCTCTTGTTTAGAAAAACTACTGAAATTATTGGTACTGGGCAAAATAGGTGAAAAGGATTCAGAGTTGCAAACTTCTAGCTACAAAATAAATAAGTCATATGGATGAAAAATACAACTGAATATAGTCGTAGAGAATATAGTCAATAATATTATAATCACTTTGAATGGTGACAGATGGTAACTACACTTATTTGGTGTAGTGGTAAGCAGTGCATAACATACAGCATTGTTAAATCACTGTGTTGTACACCTGAAACTAATGTAATACTGAATGTCAGTTATATTTCAGTTAAAAAAAAATCATGAATAGGGAGAAAAGCAGGCATTTGGGGCCACTGAGGAGGGAAGAACATGGCAATAAAGTTGGAGAACATGTTTGGTGAGAGCCAGCCAGAGTTTATAGTCAGAGAAGGGAATACATGACTTTCTGGTTTTAGCTTTGTATTTGTGGACCTCAGCTCCCTCCCCTTTTGACTCCCCTCAGGAGCCTACCCCCACCCTATCTCTCTCAAACTTCACCTTCTTCTGTTTTCCTGTATCAGGCTTCCAACTCCATCTTCAGGATCCTGGCAATGCAAGGCATATGAACTCACTCTTGTACTCTAATTTAGAGAATACACATAGCCGAGGGAGGGAATTTCAGACCTCCTTCAGGTTCTCAGCAGAAGCCCTGGTACAAAAGATTGTAGGGGACATTAATGACTTCTGCCCCTCCTCCATGCACATTGCTATAGACAGCCTCTGAGATCAGTGGCCATTGAGAGATACATAACATTCCCAGAATTTCCCTTTGGGATTCAGACACTTCCCTCCCCATATAACTCTCCACCAAAGGAAATTTCCATCAAGGAGGAGAGAGTCTATGACTCCTTTACCCCAGAAGTTGTAGGGATGGAGTGACATTACCTCCTTTGCTTTGGCCATCTCTTATTCCCCCAGTCTCTCACCGATGCTTCCTCTGGGTCCCACCTCCACCTATTGGGAATACCAGAAGCCATTGAAGCGGGGAGGTCATTAAGTGTCTCTGAGGACCAATGGAAGGGGAGACACTGGGATGTGGACGTGCCTTGAGGGCACAAGTAGGGAACCTGCACAAGGATGTAATATGTCATCACTTTTGGGAGATCTGAAAGGAAACAATGAAAACTGAAGCATCGACTTTATAAATCCACAATAGTGGCCCCCTTTTTAGGACCAGACAGA